GGGCGCCGCGCCGTCAGCGCTGCGCCGCGGGCGCTGCGCTGCGGGCGCTGCGTCGTCGGCGCCGTGCCCCGCGGGGCGCGCCGAGTTCGCACGGTGCACTTTTGCCAAGGAGTTGCGGGGCACGCACAAGCGGGCGGTTGCGGCCAGAAGCGATGCTGTCACGGGGTAGCGCTGGTTTCACCGTCGGGAAATTGCAATCCTCATTCCTGTCGCTCGCTACGTAAAGTGTTCTTATCGGGCACAAGCGACTGCGACAACGCCGAGCGGGCCCCCTTCCGCTCCAGAGACTTCTGGCACCATCTCGTTCGGCCTGGCCTCCCCGTCCTCGATGTCGGGTAAATCTCGCCCCGCGCATTTACAAGAGAAAGTTCAATCCCGGCTGCTTTCAGCTTCACCTGGAGCTTTCCCCGTGCGACAGCGCAGCGAAAAAGTCGCTTGTGGGCGACTTCTCACGTCTTTGGACAGCAATTTCTTGGTAATAAACCTGATGACACATTCATGTCGGGGACTCATGTGGATCCCGTCGGGAGTTGGGATCCGCTTGGGACTTTTTTTTTTGAATGCGAAAATTGGAAACCAACGATGGATAGATACGCCGACACGGAATTTTTTTAAAGAGGAGAGATTCGGCATACAACTTGCTTGTATGTATATTTTCGAGATGAGGCCCCTTCTCACACTCGTTATCGGCTGCTCAGAGGAGCATACCGCGCCAAGGGATACCACCTCCACACAGCACCGTCCTCGTTTTTGCAGCGCCGCAGCCAAAAGAAGTAGCTCCTGGGGGGAGGGGGGGGCAGGAACATACAGGAGGAATCCGATGGAAATCCATACTGGGCCCTTGGCGAGTCGTATGGTCGCATGGTCGTCAGAGTGGGACCTGTTTGAAAGAGCGCGTTTTATTGGCGCCTGGAGGGGGGGTCCAGAACCGGACGCCCCGTGTCGCTCCTGGAACAGGGGGGTGGGTCGAGCCCCCCCCCCTTCCACAAGGGCTCCCCCGAGGGCGCGAAGTTATTCGCGCCCTCGCGCTTCGCGGTCCTCGTTTCTCCTCCCCCTCCTCCTCGTCCTCCTTTTGTCCCTTTGGGGGGGCGGCGCGAGAGCGCGAAGTTATTCGCGCTTCGCGCTTCGCGGAGCGCGAAGCGCGAAGCTGGGAGCCCTAGCTTCCAGGGGGCCGTGTGTGTTCGACCCCGCCCCCGGGCCTGCGCTGGCGCCGGCGTCGGCCACCCTCCCTCCGGGCTGGCGCCGGCGCCACTGGCGGCTGTCGGCGGCGGCGGGGATCGTCGACGAGGACGACGGCTCAAGGGGGGGAGGGGGGATTCGAAAACCCCCCCTTTCTTCCATGCCGGCGCTGGCAATTGCTGGCAGCGGCGGCGGCGGTGCCCGCGACGACGACGGCGGCGACGACGGCGACGGCGACGGTGGCGACGGCGACGAACACGACGACGAGCACGACGACGACGCCGACGACGACGACGATGACGATGACGGAGACGACGATGGCAACGACGACGACGGCGACGACGACGACGACGACAAGCACGACGACCACGACGGCGGCAACGACGACGAAAACGAAAACGACGACACTGACGACAACGGCGACGGCGGCGACGATTGCAACGACGGCGACGACCACGACGACCACGACGACGATGACGACGGCGACAGCGGCGATGACGACGACGACGACGACGAGGACGGCGACGACGACGAGCAAGGCGACGACGACGACCGCGAAGACAGCAACCGTGACGACGACGACGACAAGCACGGCGACCACGTCGCCGAAAACGGCCACGACGACGACACCGAGCATGGCGACGACGACGACGACGGCGGCGACGACGACGCCGAAGACGGCGACGACGACGACGACAACGACGACGACAACGACAACGGCGACGAGCACGACGGCAATGACGACGACCAAGGCGATGACGATGACGACGACGGCGGCGGCGGCGACGACGACGACGGCGACAACGGCGACGATGATGGTGATGGCGACGACGCGGACGACGGGCACGACGACGACGACGACGACGGCGACGGCGACGACGACGAAGACGACAGGCACGAGAACGACGACAAGCACGACGTTGACGACGACGACGACGACGACGACGACGGCGACGGTGACGACGGTGACAACGAAGAGAATGACGACGACGACGAGCACGACGTCGACGCGCACGACGACGACGACGACGACGAACGACGGCGACGACGACGGCGACGACGACGGCGACGACGACGACGACGGCGACGACGACGACAAGCACGACGATCACGACGACGACGGCTGCGACGAAAACGAAGACGATGACGACGACGACGACGGCGACGGCGACGACAAGCACGACGATCACGACGACGACGGCTGCGACGAAAACGAAGACGATGACGACGACGACGACGGCGACGGCGACGGCGACGACGGCGACGACGTCGAGCACGGTGACATCGACGACGACGACGAAGACGGCGACGACGACGACGACGACGACGGCGGCGACGACGACGGCGGCGGCGATGGCTGCGACGACGACGACGAGACGCCGACGACGACTACGACGACGACGACGGCTGCGACGACGAGCACGGCAACGACGACAACAACGGCGGCGATGACGACGACGAAGACGACGTGATCGACGGCGACGACGGCGACAACGGCAACGATGGCCACGACGGCGACAATTGTGACGACGATGGCAACGGCGACGACGACGACGACGGCAGCGACGACAAGCACGACAACGACGACGAACACAACGACTACGGCGACGACGGCGACGACGGTCTACCACGCCGACGACGACGACGACGATGCGGACGGCAGCGACGACGACGACAACGACGATTACGGCGACGACGGCGACGTCGACAACGACGGCGACGGACAGGACGACGGCGACGACGACGACGGCGACGGCGGCGATCACGCCGACGGCGACGACGGCGACTATGGCGGCAACGACGGCAACGGTAATCACGGCTACTTCGAGCGTGAGACGACTACGACTACGACGATCACGAGGACAGTGTCGACGACGACGACGGCGACCATGACGACGACGGCGACGACGGCGACGTCGACGACGACGACGACGACGGCCACGACTGCGACCACGCCGACTTCGACTATGATGACGACGACGACGACCACGACGACGGTGGCGCCGACGACGAAGACGACGTTAACGACGACGGCGACGACGACGATGGCGATGGCGACGACGACGAGGACGGAAAGCGCGGGAGGCACGCGACGCAGCGCGACTAATCTTTACGTAACACCTCGCAGATGCGGATAAGAGTGAGGTGGCGGTGGGGACGTCGGCAGTTTGCGAGGCTCTGGAGAAGTCCACCGCAGGCGCCAAAGTTTATAACTTCTTCAACGGGCCCGCCGCAGGCGCCGATTCCTTTTTAAAACCAATGTGGGTAGGTCGCGGGTGGGTTGCACATGGGTCGCGGGTGGGTCGCGGGTTGGTCGCGGGTGGGTCGCGGGGTGGGTCGTGGGTGGATCGCGGGTGCGCGCGTGTGTCGCGGGTGGGCCGCGGAGTGGGTTGCGGGTGGGTCGTGGGGTGGTTCGCGGGTGGGTCGCGGGTGCGTCGCGGGGTGGGTCGCGAGGATGGTCGCGGGGTGGGTCCTGGGGTGGGTCGTGGGGTGGTTCGCTGGTGGGTCGCGGGTGGGTCGCGGGGTGGGTCGCGGGTTAGGTCGCGGGTTGGGTCGCGGGTGGGTCGCGGGGTGGGTCGCGGGTGGGTCGCGGGGGGGGTCGCGGGGTGGGTCGCGGGAAGGATGACGACAACAAACAGAAACAACGCAACAAACATAATTGTCACCACGGACCCCCACTTCAGCCACGCACCCAGGGACAATGAACGACCGTTTGGCCCTCTCACTCTGATCTTTGAAGTCCGGGCCCGTCAATGTTCCGACTACCAGGGCCGAGGACAGAGGACTACAAGGGACCTCGTCGTCGTCGTCGTCGTCGTCATTTTCGTCCTGGTCATCGTCGCTGTTTCGCCGCCGTCGGCGCTTCCAGCCGCCGCCGCGGGGGGGGGGCTTCAGGTAGGGGTGGGGAGGAGTCCCCCTGGTTCTGTTTGACGGCGCCAAATGGTCGGGGGGAAGAGCCCAGTTCAAACGCGCCGCCGCATGTTCCCAAAACAAGCGCCCGTGAAACGCGCTCCCTCACCTGTTACGATCTCCATTGGTTTATGATTGGGATTTTGCTGGAACCTTCAGAATCCTATTGGATACTGATGGGTTATTGCGACCATATAGTTTTAATTTACGTCGGGTAAGGACTGAGGCCCTTGTGAGGCCCGATTGGCGTTCTGTCAGGATCAGATTGAGATCTACTTGGGATCCTCATGTTTTTGGGGGGCATCCGACCCGAATCCGATTGGAACCGAGTATGGATATCAATGGTATATTGTTGATATACGTTGGGGTATTGGGTTGTTTTTGGGACTCGACTGAGGTTTTCCGGAATCTTACTGCGACCATGTTTGCACCGTAATTATTTGACCCGACTTTGGAACTCGATACAAACATTTGTGGGTTGGTGTTGCGGTCTTTTTGGGCCCTATTGGAATCCGGTTTTGTTCTTGTTGAGATCTTATCCGGATTTTGGTGGGATCCCGCACTGAGGGGGTCTGGGAGCGGCATATTATCCCCACGGGGTGAAACAAACAATGCCGTTTGGCCGAGGGGGGGCCGGCAATTGCGTATCACGGCTTTGTCGTGGCTCGGAGCACACCAAGTTGACGAGTTTGGAGAGCTAAACGTGGCCGCCTGGAAAGGAGGGCACCTTTCGATTAACAGAACGTCTCCGAGTACCCCCCCATGACGACCAGCCTAGATTTACACACACACACACGCCGAGAGTATCGGCGGTCTCGCATCGGGGTGCGGCCGCGATATGTACACATGTTGGCATTATGTAGAGTCCGATGACGTTGGATCAGAAAGGGTGCGTTTAGAGGGTCACGCAGGATGACCAACGTGTCGCATCTGGTGAAGCACTTGTCCTTCTCCCACCCGGCCGACGGCAGAGTCTTCCGCAAGGTCTGCAAAGTCAATCGCGCGTGCAAAGAATATGCCCTGCTTGTCTGGTGCATGAAAGGGAGGACCAGCCGGGGAATGAAGAGCAAAACGTCATCGAGCGTCTTGAGGTTTCACCTCGCGTGGCCACGACCTTCCTGCGTCAGTCTTAGCATCCGTCGCTCGATGAAGCGCCGGACATGCCTCCTCCCTCGCATCCCCCCTCCTCCCCCTCTTTGGCACCCCTTTTTCCCATGACTCTTACCTAACATTGCAAATCAATGCCGCATTGCACGCTGCGTCATCACGTATTGAGGCCATTGGGTTCGTTTGTGGGAGTATGGCTTGTGCGCATGGCGGTTTCGAGTTTCACTTTGTGGTTGCAGAGTCGATGTGGATGCGGCTGGCTGTCGCACGAATAATTGCCCCCTCATTGTTGATCATGGTGCTTGCCACAGTCGCAAAGAAAGCTGGCAAGGCAACCTAATCTATCACGAGGGTTGCCCTTGCAAAGAGCGTCAAGCGTCTGCGCCGAGCGGGCCACCAGCCAACGCGACACCTGGTCACGCTTATGGAGGATCCAGACGGTGCAGCGGAGTGCAAGCTGGTTGGCGCCTTCGAAGAGCACTGAGATGTTGTGTTGTGTTTGTTGTTTCCCCCCACAAGGCATGAGTCGTCGGCGAATGATGTTGTTGGTTATGCCAATCTGTCTTGGCGAGATTGCCGCGGTGCCACCCCTCTTCGCGCCAGAATATTGGATGAGGAGTGACAAAGTTGATGAGGAGGGGTGAGGCAGAGGGGGAATGTGGAGAAGAAGTGTGAACGAGGGAGAAGCAACACAACGAGGACGAGGCCTCTCTTGGAGAGCCAGGCTGGCTAGCTGCGTGGCTCCCCTTCGTCCCTTGAGTTGTGCAGAGCTGCCCTTCCTTGCCCTTCGCGAAGTTGTGGTCGAGCTTCCCGAGCGACGTTGTGAAGCACTTCAACCCGATTGACGCGAGAAAGTTCGTGACCACGGAATTCCACCAGGCTTCCCTTGAGAGGGGGTTTGGCAGGATCTGTGGCCGACAGCAAAAGAGCCCATTATGGTGGACCAGGGTGGCCCGGGTGGCCCCTCGACGCCCCCCCGAAGCATTCCAAGTCGTGACGTAGTCGTGTTGCAGGCCGTGGTTCGCAGCAAGGTGGCCCGAGGAAGCCCCCGGAGGCCCCCAAAAGTCGCCCAGGAGGCCTCTAGAAGACCCCCTACGAACGAGCCCCCAACAAAAGGCATCGTGATCTGCCCAAGACCCAAGAGGCTTTCAAAGGAGGAATCTCCGCAAAACAAGCTGGAGGAGGATGGGGAAGGGTTCGTAGGGTTGGGCGAGAACGGGCGAAGAGGGGGAAGAGGACATGCAGGGGAAGGAGAAGCAACAACATCTGCAGCGACGACGACGAACACGGTAACAAGGAGGTACTGCTACTACTGCTACTACTACTACTACTACTACTACTACTACTACTACTACTACTACTACTACTACTACTACTACTACGACTATCCATATGTGTAGCTCTTCACCTCTCCCTCATCCCACCCGCAGGCCGAATTTGAGTGACCACCGTGCACGGCGCGAAGCGGCAATGCAGTCTTAGATTTGAATTGTTTTCATAGATGAACAGATATGTATATGTACGTGTATATATATATATATATATGAAAGAGCGTGTTCTACCGCTGCTAGCGGAAAACCGGAAGGGTTCACTACCGGTTCGAACCCCTCCCCCCCCCCCCTCCGGAAAACCGGGGGGGGTCATTACCGGTTCGAACCCTTCCCCCCCCCCCAGTTCAACATGAAAAGGGGGGGGGGGTCACTACCGGTTCGAACCCCCCCCCCTCCTCGAGCTCGAAAACCGGGGGGGTCACTACCGGTTCGAACCCCCCCCCCCTCGAAAACCGAGAGGGGGTGCGGACAGTGGTGGGGACGGTGGTGGTGGGGACAGTGGTGAGGGGACAACGGGACAGTGGTGAGGACAGTGGGACAGTGGTGGGGACGGTAGTGGTGGGGACAATGGTGAGGACAATGGTGGGAACAGTGGGGACAGTGGGACAGTCAGTGGTGGGGACGGTGGTGGTGAGGACAGTGGTGTGGGGACAGTGGGAATGTGGTGGAAACAGTAGGACAGTGGAGGGTACAGTGGTGGTGGGGACAGTGGTGAAGGCGGTGGCGAGGACGGCGGTGGGACAATGGGACAGAGGTACAGTGGGGACAGTGGTAGGGACAGTGGGGACAGTGGTGGGAACAGTGGGACAGCTCAGTGGTTCGAACTGGTAGTGACCCCCCCCTCCGGTTTTCGGGGGGGGGGGGGTTCGAACCGGTAGTGACCCCCCCCGGTTTTCGAGCTCGAGGGGGGGGGGGGGGGGGGGGGGGGAGGGGGGGGGGGGGCAGGGGTTCAGCAGGGGGGGGGGGATTTTCGGAGGGGGGGGGGGGCCCTGGGTTCCGGAGGAAAAGGGCGGCAATTTTCCACAGTAAAGCGGCGGTGGATCACGCTCTTTCTCATACATATATATATATATATACACGTATATTCGTACACCTGTATTAGACACCTCGTTGGCATAGATGGTGCGATGGCGAGCAACGTGGGCCATGATGGTGAAACAGCTGGCTGATCTGGTTTAGCTTTCTAGGCTGGTTTCCTCGCTGGGAGGGGGGCTTTCAGAAGGGTGACGAGGTCACGTGAATTCTGGGGTGGTTTTGCTGGCTGGGCTGGGCTGACCGTGGGGCCCTTCGAGGTCATTACTGCCCGGTTATGGTCATCATGTGAGTACTAATTTGTGGGGTACCCTCCAGGGCAGTCGCAGCAAAGGTAGCAGCACGATGTGCCGAGGAAGCGAGTGGATGTGCAAGGAGCGAGCTTCCTGGCAGCGGGCGCTGGCAAAGCTGAGTGCAGTGGACGCGCGGGATGACGCGCGGATCGAGCCGCCTGTGAACAACGTTGGAACGCTATGTTCGCCGGTAGCGAACGAGATCCTCTGAGCGGGTTTCTTGGCAGCGGCGGCGGCGATGAGATGTGCATCGGGAGCACGTGGGCCTTTCGAGTTTCTTGGCAGCAACGCTAACAGCGTCTTGTGCAGCGTGAGTCCCCCACTCACCAAAACACCCCAACCCAAGCCGAAGGCGCCAATGTGCCCTCCATTCCCAGTGGGGGGAGGAGCGTCTGGGAACATCGAACAAAAACACATATGGAACCCGTACCATACCCAACCAGCAATTCGGGTCTTCGGGCTGGATTGGGGTGGTCTGGCAGGTAGCTAACGATCCGCCACATGAAAATATACACAGGGGAGGATGGCAGTGTATAAATCACCATGGCGAGCCAGCGCTTAGTTACACCGCCGCCCTCCCTGAAGGTACATTGAAAATCCCGCGGAGGGTGTCTGTGCATGTATATTTTCGTGGCGTAAACGAGCGAGCAGGTACGCACCGAGAGAATTTCCCTGCAGCAGCGCTGGCATTGCGATGTGCGCCTGCCGGGAGCAGGCACGCTCGGAGCCGGCCTTGCATCAGCGTTGGGAGCGGGCCGGTGCGCTCGGGATGAGCCTCTTGGCGATACATTCGAGGTTGATTGGCAGGTCGACCCTGCCAATTGAAGGGTACCCTTGTGTCCTGTGTTTCGCGATCCATGCCTTTGCATTCCTAGGGCAATGTGGCCCTCGGAAGGGTCTTGCGTCCTCTCTGGTGCCCCCTCTCGCGTGTCCTCTCCAATCAAGCTCGGCTGTACGCTCGGGATGAGGTTCTCGGCGGCAACGCCCGGAGCGCTTAGCGCGGGCGGACACGTCAGGAGGGAACACAAGTGCACAGACACCGAGAAACGCGGACTTCCATATGAGTATGGGAAAGCACTGGCAACAGTAGGGAAGTGGGGAAGACGTATTGGAAAAATGGATCAGTAATCACGTGGGGCATCATGGATTTGTTGCCGATGTTTGTCTGCGCCCCCCTGGGCCCCTGGAGCACGCAGAGTGGGCCTTCTGGGCAAGCGTTCCGGGTTCACGAGGTGCGCCTTGAGGGACGCCCGCTCGGGGCGCTTCCCGCGGCAGGTCTACTCTTAGCACGCAACGTAGCAGCATTCAGTATCGTTTAACCGATCCCCATCCCCACTCCCATCCCCTTCGAGACCCCCACCACATTACCACCCCAGTTGGGGATACACCCCTCGAAACCCGAAGGGAACGATCTATATCCCCATCTAGGTGTGTAAATCGGCCAGTGGGGCCCAGGCCACGCCGCTGGGGATGGGGATCGGATAACCGATACCCAAGCATCCAGGCAAGCCCCAGCGGGGGGGGGGGGAGAGCCAGGGGCTCATTCCGATTCCGCCGATCCGTCTCGATTCTGCTTCGATGGCTTCCGGTTCCGTCCCGTTGGGGGTAGGATTTCTCAACGGAGGCCTACCAGCCTGCCAGGGTCCGCCGACTCGACCTCTCCCGGCTGGGGTGCCGATGCCCGCCGACGCGATTCATGCCGTTGTTGTCGATTCGAGTCTGGGCTCTCCTGGGGACGCGGCACTTGTTTCGAGAACTTTGGCTGTGAGACAGTCGGATGATCGGAAGCGACGGCTTCAGTAATGCTGTGCCTCCGGAGCTTGCCTCTGGAAGCGATCGCCTTCGGCCGTAGACGCGCCAAGGGCAATGTAGGCGACGGCGACGTGGGCTTCGGCATTGTAGGTGGGACTGGTTCGTGGCCAAAACAATTGTAGGACATCGTGGTTCGTTTTTGTCCTACAACTCGCTGCGTTGTTTTCGCTCGATGCTTTCGCACATTTGGAGTGTAGGAATGTGGAGCTCGGCGTCACAAAAGTCGGATTCCCAACATCGCCGTTAACCAACATCGCTGTTAGCGCGGCCTTAGTTCAGGGCGTGCCCTGGCGCTTTGTCCTCCGTCTCACGCTGTTGCTCTTCGTCGTCATCTTCCTGATTAACCCTCTGTCGACGAGGCACAATGGGGTGCAAGGCGTTGGAGACGGCCTTCTAAGAAGGCGCCTCGTCTCCTAGAAGGGCCCTGCCTTCTAGCAACCTCTCGTAGAAGCCGCGTAGAAGCGGCAGCCCCCTGCCCAAGCGAACGATGAGCACCTGCCTCCCTGGGAAGGCCGCACCCCGCGTTACGCCAGAGGCGGACCCACGAATACGCCCGTGTCGGTGGCAATTGTCCCGTGACTTCAGGCGAGATGATTCGACCTCTGAAGTGAATTCCCGTGTTGTCTTGGAGCAGAAACGCGTCAAGCATCGTTGATCCAAGCCGCGCGGCCGGGAAGGGCGGTTGCCCTGGCGCCGCTGGGGATCGCCGGCAGAGAAATGCATTTACAAGACCCCCTCATCGGGAGACCCAGCCACCCCCGGCGTGGACCCCCCGGGCAAAGGTGCGGCCCGCGAGTCAGGACCCCGACAGAGCCTTCTCCGGCCACGTCCCCCCAATCAGTAGCCATGCCTTTTGGCGACGGTGCCGACGAATTTCGCGTGACCACTTGAGTCCGCGATCAGTAGTCATTCGAGTTGTTCTATACATTCGTGTGTTCCGGTGATCACCGATGGGCGGGTTCGTTCTGTCGACGTCTGAGGTTCGGACAGGGCCGTTCCCCGGGCGGCGGGCGGCGCGGGGCAAGGGGGATGGGGTTTCGTCGCCAAGATAACCACGCGTGAAACCCTCAACCCAGGATGCTCAAGGTTCCTCGGCAGCGTTTGCGCGTGCACACATCTCTCCTTCTGCTCAAACGCGTCAGCTGCCCCGAACACGCGGGACAAGTACTTGCTTCAGTAACTGTGGTCAGTTTCCGTCGCCCCATGACTTCAGGAATTCCCATACCCTCTTAAGACCGTTGTTTACAAATGGCGACAACAGGCGTGACGGGAGGAGGAGTCAGGGGGAGAGGGGGGGCTGGTCACGGCACGATTTGCGCTGGCACCGTTTGAGAATATTTGAGGCTCATTCCCAGACGGCGTCGGCGCGAATCGCGGCGTGACCAGAGGGGGGAGGGGGGGGCCGGTTTCGCGGTTACGGGCGCTACGTATCCCGAATATTCATACTCGTTGCATAAACACACGGTTTCAGAGGTCCACGCTAACTTCTCTCGGATCGGCGCTTTTTTCCCTGTCGCGCTCCGCGCGCCGGGGGCGCCAGGGGCGCGTCGCCAGGGGGCTCCAGCACCGATCCGAGACATCCGCGCGGAGCTCCGAAAGCTGGTGGTTCATGCCATCAGTCGCTTCCCGACGTGTGCGGAGCGGGAGCGTTCCTGTGCGCCGCCAGGGGCGGAGGCGCTCCCCGTGCCCAGGGGTGGGTGGGGGACCTGATGGCTCCTCGCCGTCTCCGCGCGGGTTCTCCCCGCGCCGCCCCCTCCCTCCAAGCTCGCCCCTGGGCAAAACCAAGAACCACAACCGCCACCCAAGGTTCGAGGAGGGGATCGAGTCCGTGAAAGTTTTGCAGCATGTCTGTAGATCTACGAACAGTCTACGTACTGCGTTGTGGTCTTGACGAGAAGACCAGTTTTGGGGTACATGAATTCTGTAGTCGATCCCCTACTCGGAATGCTTTATTGGGGGGGAGGGCGCCTTGGGAAAAACCCACCGACCTCGGCATGAACACTTTGGCAGTGGTGGTGTGTGTCGGGTTGTCCGCCCTGGGGCGACGTGTAAACCACTGCTGAGCTGGCTTCGGTGTTCAGACGATGGTCGCCATGCGCCAGACATCCCCCAGGGTGTGTCCCCGATGTGCAAGGGCTCCCACGAGGGCGCGAAGTTATTCGCGCTTCGCGGTCCTCGTTCCTTCTCCCCTTCCTCCTCGTCCTCCTTTTCTCCCTTTGGGGGGGGCGGCGCGAGAGCGCGAAGTTATTCGCGCCTCGCGCTTCGCGGAGCGCGAAGCGCGAAGTTGGGAGCCCTAGATGTGGTTGTGGCCGCCTGCTGTCCCCGCACCGGCCCGGCCAGGCATGGATCCACGACGTGCAGGCGCCCTCTGATCGCGGGGGCGGGGCGATCCATGGCAGCGGTACACTCTCGGCGATACTTAAGAAAACCCAAGTTTTCGGCCAGAGGCTCGATTATTCTTAATGTTTCAATGTGAATCCCAAGATTTTAACAGACATTCGGGGTTTTCATTCAGATTCTGAGACTATGAATTGCTTAACCCATGATTTCTAAAGCATTTCGCAGGGTGTAGGGGGGCATCGATACCCAAACGCACACTGAATCTCCGAGGGGGGCCAGAGAGCCCCCCCCCCTTGCCAGGAAGGTACGGTTTCGCTCTCGGGAGGCCTCCTGACGTTGTCCCTCAGGTGAGGGGGGGGGGGCGAAGAATGCGAGGGGCAGGGAATGCAGGTGAGAGGGGGGTGGGTGCTGCGGGAGGATGGGGGGCCAGGCGCAGGGGAGAGTGCGGGGGGGGGAGCCCGCGAGCACGGGGTGAGCGAGGGCGCGGTTTCGGTGGGGGCCTCCTGGGGAGATGGTGGAGGTGGCGGTTCCTTGGGAGAAGTCAGTTGTCGAGTGCGCGCTTGCTCCCCGTGCACGCTGCGAGCCTGAAGCCAGGAGTGGCCTCGCTCGGAACCAGTCTTGCACAGCAGCGCGCATCAGTTCAGAGTGCACGAGCACGGCTGTCGGGGCCGCTCCCAGCTCACGTTCCAGAAGTCGTGGGCGAACATTATATTCGTATCCGCGGCCTCGCGGGCCGGTCCCCTGGGACGCGACCCTGCGGAGTACGGGCCGTTCTTGTCGCGGATGCTCAGCGCGGAACGTATCCGTGCGACCGCGTATCGGCGGGATCGCGCCCCGGAATGAAGGCCGCGAGGGCGTGTTGGGCGTCACGTAATGGCGAGGCGATGGATGGGGGAGCAGCGCAGCTGCAGAAAGGGCTTTGTAGGGCCCCTAAAGGGCCGCGTGAGGGTCCAAAAGGGTGCCTTCAGGGCCCGAGAAGGGCACCATCCTCCCCACCCCAAATTGATCGCCCCCCCTCGAAGCAACGCGCAAGCTTGGATGTGGATGCGTTCGCCGCTCGTGAGGGGAGGCCCCCTCCCCGCCCCCCCTGCCCTCGCGCGTGGCCTGCGGCGGACGCCCTCCGCGGACTGGCGGGGGGCCTCCTCCGCTGCCGCCGGGCGTCCGCCCCGTCGAGAGGTCACCCCCTTTGCGGTTCGTCGAAGGCGGGTCGCGACGAACGAAAGGGGTACGGAACGGCTCACACCCCGCAGCCCTTCCCTCACATGTCGTTGCAATGGACCCGCCACAGCGACTGAACCCACAGCGACTGAACCCATCTGAGCCGCTGGCGCGGCTTGGCATGAGCATTGGGGAAAGGCCCAAGGCGGATGACAACACGCAGCAGGACAAAACCACTCTGTACGAGACAACCGCTTTCGTCGCATGGAACCCGCACTCGCTCCCCAGCCACCATGGACGTACATCACTGATTGTGTACGAGTTCTGCGACCAATTCGCTCTCCTGTTTCCTGGAACGCACGTCGGACAGGGCAATCGTTTCGCGGACCACAATGAGCAAACCGAACATAATTTCTGGGTTCACTGGGGATGGAGACAGACGCCATGGGTTACCGCAGCATGTGGGCGCGAGATTGCCATATCACGACGACGTGCTCCGCGTCGCCAGTGGTATGTGTTTCGTTCCCCCTCAAGCATTACAAGGACGCGGGGGTTCAGTTGATCTAGTCCGAGGCCACTGTCGCGTCCGGGTTTTCATTCCGCCTGTCACCAGCAAATTCACACAGCAGACGGATATCATTGCTGCAAGCGATTGTGGCAATGAATTGTGTCGGAATGTAGCGCATGCCTTGCGCCCATGACACTTAATTCTTCGGCGACCTGAACCAGGGCTAGGCAGACGTCACCGAGCCATGAAAACGGACGAGAGCGGCGGCCCCACGCAAGCAATTCCCGACACGACAGTGGACGCATTCATACACGAGTCCCTCTACGCTCGCCCACAGCGTTCAGCACGTTATGGAACATGGGTTCGACATGATGCGGCAATTGCGGCGCTCAGAGCAGGATCGGCTATTGGATCGGCCCGATGCTGGGGATCGCCTTGACGATCACGACTGCTGCCACACATGAACGACCATATCCCGATGTTGTTTTATCTGAAATGGCCCTCGCCATGCGCTGGCTCGGCCTAGCGAGCGATTAGATGGTGCTGGGCTCGCATCGCTGCTGAAATTCAGGCTTGCTGCGGCAGATCAGAATTTCTACGAGACCTACACCAGGTAGCTCATCAGTGCCAGCACGAACTGCGCTTCTGTAGTATTTGACCAATTACCTTACCGACATGCTGCCTTCGTCGCATACGTCATTCGCAAAGCTGCCACCCCATGTTATACCCGACAAGAAAGCGCACCCAGTTGGCTCGAGGGCGCGCAAGCTAAACGCCACGAGCTAGTCAGCAACGAGCGTGCCTACACGGCCGAGGGATTCCCGTGGACGATGACCAACTCAAGCGTGCACCGCGACAGCCCCGCGAACATGCAACATGGGAGCAGGCCGAGCGGAACCAATCCATGGACGAACAACTCGCAGACGCGCGACCTTTCCCGAGTTGCTGAATTTGCCCTATTCCGAACTGGTGCAAAAGCGCCCCCCCCCCCCCCCCCCCCCGGAGCGCGCCTTTCTCGCCTTCCCCAGCGCGCGGCCCGCCGCCCCCCCGCAGCGTGGCAGCGCTCGGCAAGGGCGGCGCCGATGGCGGCTTCGCAGCCGAGCCCATGCACGCCAGCATCTACGTCGAAAGCGGCACTGCCATCAACCAGCTCCACCACCGCAGCGACGACGACCACGTTGCTCCCATGGGCGAGTGCAGAGCGGATCCGACCCACGACTCCCTGCCCGCCGCCGTCGGGGACCGCGACGCTATGACCAGGCGCCCCTGGGCCAAGAAGCACCGCATGTTCTCGCCAGCATGGCCCTGGCCCGCCGAGTCCACCACCACGGTGCTGTTCCCGACCTACCTCAGCCGGCCGACGTTGCCACGAGGTGGATTCGGTCACGCCGCAACGGGCCACGAGTGGTCGGTACGTAGATTGCGTCCTGGAGTTTGATAGGCGACAACTCAACGTCGACCACGACCGCCGCCAGGTTGCAAAGGCTCTGCTCGCCCACGCGCTAACTCGCGTGATTCAGCCGCGCCATCTGCGCAATCATGCACGAGCCAGACAGCGGCCATCGGTGAGAGGGGCGCAGAACCATGTGGCGACCCCGCCCACGACTTGAAAATCTGCCTCAGCATGCCGCGCGTCTCCTCCCCCCTTTCTGGCGGCGCTACTTGCGAAGCAGGTTCGTCGACTTTGGCAGCGCGCGCAACCCGCCCCGCGGGCTCGTGGCGGCGACCGAGCGCGCCGACGGGAAGGCTTCATGCCTCTCGCTCGCATTGCCATTTACAGGCTCCGCAAGGCCCAGGCCCCCCACATCTTGAAGAGGTGCACTCCGCGCGGGACGCGCCGAGCGTTTCCGCGCGGCGCGTCGAGTTCGAACCGGCAATCCACACTTCGAGGACATACTTTCTCAACCTCGGGAAAAGGCGATCACGCGCGCCGACGCCGTCGAGCAGGCCGCCCGCCCGCATCCGATGAACGGCGGCCGCTTGGGCGACGGCAGAGCGCCCCAACGTTTCATGGAGTCGTTCTGCCCGCTCGCAATGGACCGGGGCAAAGAGCTCGCGAGTGTCACCGGCGACGGGTTCAGCGCGCCTAACGCCGTTCACAGGCCAGAAGCACAACGCGAGCAATGGCGCTTACGTCGATGACATCATTCGTATGCGCACTATTCCTGGCGGCACACATTGGCAAGCGCTGGCGATGGACTGCGTCGACGCGCCCACCCTCGAACGCCGAGCTCGAGACCTTTGCCCACCTGTCCACCGGCGCCGCCGCTGAGCGGGGAGAACGTGAGCTCAGCGGCGCACGCATGACACATTTGGTTCACGTAGGCTGCTACATCCACGTATATGTCAACAACGCGCGGGAGGTCGAGGAGCTCGTTCGCCCGCGCAGCACCGGCTGGACCAGGCATGCTCGCGCGTGGACATCGCCGGCGCCCAGGCGCTGCAAAAGATTCGCCATCCTCGCGAACGCGGCGCTTGGAAGCTCTGGCCCTCTCCGCGCGCGCAGATCGCGCATGTTGATGCGACCCTCGCATAATGACGCGTTGCGCGATGGCGCCCGCGGTGCATTATCGACGCGGGTGATATTCATTGAGCGGGGGATCGCCCCCGCCGCTCTAGAGCCGGCCTCGCGCGCGCAGACTGAAGTGGCGACGAACCCCGAGCAGCGAAGCGCAGCGCCACGATCAATGCGCGCGCTCTCTTGGCCGCTGCACAATCGAAAACCAGATCAGGCCAGGGCCCCCCGCACTCCTGCTCCTGCGCTGCCAGCCGACGGACCCTTGAGCTCCGCCACCGCGGTGCGCCCCTGTGCAATCCATTCGCGAGCAGATCTCCAGAGCGACATCGATGCGGAGCCCCCGTCGCCGAGAATTAAGACAGGATCTGGAACATCCGTTCAAGCATCAACGAGCTACCAGAAAACCCGAAGTCCGGGAGGCCTTCCAGAACATCGATTTCGGCTACCTCCGCCAGGCGCACGCGCCCCAGTCTTGGGCTCTTCCCGACCACTTGCAGCATCTTCCTGCTGACGGGCCTTTTGGAGATCCCAGCGGGCCCCGAGGGCGCCCTCCCGTTCGTCTGCAACATCGAGTGTTGCGCGAAGAAGGTCCGCGTATCTCCGGCATTTATATCTCGTCAAACCACTGCGTCACTAGCAGGAACATGGCAAGGACACCGTCGTCTCGACGACCGCGATCAACAATGCGTGCGTCGCATTTGGGAACGTGTCTGGAAACGCATGGCATTGCCCATGTCATCATCGTCGCTCGTAGATGGACGCGCGCTGTTTCGCCGGTCGCACGCTATATGCGCGCTTGGATCCCGTCAGCTCTCGCCAGATGCCCATTATAGCAGATCTTGCAGCTGTAGATTGCCCGCGTGACCACCAAGGCCCAGGAGAGCTCAGAATGCACCTCCTCGCGCGCACCCCTCCGTCGCCACGAGGTCCTTGGCTCAGACAGCCCTGCGCTCTGCGCGGGCGGCAGGTCGACGGGGCGAGTCAGTCAAAGCACCATCCTTGCCAGCACCTGTGTTGGAAGCCCGCTGATACTGCCCAGCTTCGAGCAGAAGTGCGACTGTCATCTGCCAGACGACTTGCCGCCGTTCGCAGCGCCGAGCCGGCAACTGAACGACCGAGACGGACTGCGGCGAGGGCGGTTCGGCGCAACGAGCTGGGCATTGCATCCATCATGTAGCGCGATTTCAGCTGCCCGCTCGGCACTTACTTCGGCGCCTGATCTCCCCAATGTGCTGAAACGCTATCAGCGGAAGATGGCGGGGACAGATGACGCCGCCGACAGAGGGGGCGCGCGCGGCGTGGAGAGGCCCGCCACCGCCCCCGACCAAGTCGGGCAGAGGTTCCAGGGGCGGCGAACCGCCAGCCAGACGCCAGAAAGTGACGGGCGCCCGACAGGGCGAGGCCGCGGCTGGGGCCGACGAGGACATGGACGGCGCCGAGAAGGAGGGGGAGGATTTCGCGGAAGAGCCACGCCGAGCCCGCCGTCGCGGAGGACGTCGAGCACGCCGTGGCCACCACACGGAGACCGAAGAACCCCCAGCCCCAGTTGATGTCACTTACGACCCCCGCTCTACAGCGCACGCAGAAGATCAGATTGATAATGTGTGCTCAGTGGCCGACGCCTGGATCTTGGAGACGACCCGCCCGTTTCCCGCCCGCGTCAGCGACGAGCTGGAGGGCTTCCGCAAGCGAGCCAACGGCCTAAAGACGGACAGTAACAACGAGGCGCTCCAGAAGTTAGGCCCACCGGCTCCCGCACTGGCCCTGGCGATGATGGAAACCTGGGTTATTTTCGAGGTCGGGGGCAGAGCGCAGCAGCATGTCAACGATTATTTGGAGGAGTGCCAGCCGACCGACGAGCTGGTCGAACCCGCGGTGGGCGCGGAGCAACTCCTGTCTCAGGTCTCTTTCGTCATAGTGGAAAAGACACGACAGCAACATCGCCAAGCTGGTGATCGGCGCGCACGGCGGGCCAGCTCGTCAATTCGTGATCGACGGCCTCAGGGCCGAGGGCAAAGCTCGCCACCGCATGGTCCACGCCCCTGCGGGTTGGATGGAGCAGGATACCTCGGTCTGGCTGGAGCATTTTGGACGGATCGCAGCATAAAGTTTTACACCAGGCAAGAACCTCCCAGGCACCAACAGCGCGCCAGCAACGGGACCAGTTCCGCCTGCGACGCCAGCTTCTGCAGACGATGCACTCCGGGGATGATTTCGCCGCTGGTGGGGATGCGTTGTTTTTTTGGTTTGCTGAAGCTTTCGCATGCCCGTCCCCCACGCCCGATCGGCCACTGCTCCGCTTAAATGCCCGCCAACGGCGAGCAGCGCCGTGGTAGCGCACAGCCGCACTGGCGAAGGGCATATCTGTATCTTTCATCTCTGGCGAGAAGCTGTGTCACCCGAGGCCTCGTTGTCGTGTGATGTGGATTCACCGCCGTGCGTGGTATAGTTCATAGCTGCGAGTCTAAGACGTTCAGACTCATTCATGTGCTCAGCTGTCTTCGGAATTGGGTAGAACGACGTACAGCATGTCCTGTTCATTTCGGACGGGGCTCGTTGTCGGTGTCGGTGCGGACGGTGTCTATTTGAGACAGAACGCCGCCTTCCCAACAGTGGCCGCTGTCGGTGTTGGACAATCTCTGTCGATGGGCATCGTATCAATTGCTTCCGTACCCATTTTCGGGCGTCCAACTTTCGATTCTTCGGAAAAGGAGGCCGTTTTACGTTGCAGCCTCGGGGGGGCAGCGTCTGCTCCCCGGACTGGTGTTTTTTAATGTGCCCGACGCGGGCTCGATGCAAGTTCGACGCGGCTCTGGAGTGGACTCTGCGCGGATGCAGCGCATATTTGGCGCAGATCCGACGAGTCCGACACGGATCCGACACGGTTTCGACGCGGATCGGGGCGCGACCGGACAGAAACAGCCTTTCGAAGATGCAATGCAATTTTTTTCGGTGAAGCGTGAGACTCGAGTATGTCAGATCTCGGTTGTGCCGACGTTTTTTTACGAGCGCGTCCTGGATTTTGGCGGTCCAGGTTTCGTGGGATGCTTGCGGCGGGAGCTCGCTTCAAATTTCATGTTGGGTCTCGTCATTTTCATGGTGGTCCCGTCAGGCCAGCCCGAGTCCCCCGCGCCCGAGTCTTGCTTGTTGAGGCGTAGGGTGGGAGGCGGCCCAGCGAGGCCCTTGAGGTCTTGGGCGAGCAGGAACGCCCAGGGAAGGGGTGTTGGGAGGGCATCGCCAGGGCGCGGAGGTCGTGAGGGGTTCTGGCCTCGGCTCGGAGGTATCGATGCCGTTATCTTATGTCGTTCTCGTCCGTTTGGGCCTCTTGGGAGGACTCCGTCGCCACCACCACATTCGCTTCGAAGTTCTGGTCAGAACGTCCCCTGGAGAGGTCAGGGGAGTAGCGATTTCGGTAGTTTGGGTTTCCCCAGACTCAAGAAAATCCGCGAGGACCTCCAGAACGGCATGAATGTGTTGAATACGGATGTTGCTTGCGGGTCTTCTATCTCGTTTTCATGTTTCAGGATTGTTGTTTTCTCCATGCAGCGTCGTTGGGTTTATCAAGCATACCGGCCGCTGTGGGTTTCAATAGTTAGCAGGTTTTCTCTAGTTCATTTGTCTTGTCGTATGATGAGATCATGTTCACCTCACCAGTCATCGCGAGGTGGTTCGCACCGTGAGCACCAACGAGAAAGTTTCTTTCCAGCTCAGCCACCAGAAGCGGCTGACTCAAGTGAAAGAGGAAGATATCCCCCAGGACCCGAGAGCTTAGGGGAGCGGACAAGGAAGGAGAGGGAGGAACCGGTGCGTGTTGAGAGCGAGGGAGTGGAAGCGGGAATGATAGCAGGGGTAAATCGGGGTTTGATAAAGATGCCCTTGGCCCAGGGTGCCCCCAGCTTTTCGTTTAATCTCGGAGCCCCTGGGGCCCTCTGGGCCTCGTGAGGGGTGCTCTGGAGGCCGTTGGGGCCTCCTTGGAATTCCTGGGGGGCCCTTTGGGCCAGGGGCGCTTCTGGCAACACCCGAGTAAAGAGGAGGAGGAGGAGGAGGAGGAGGAGGAGGAGGAGGAGGAGGAGAAGGAGGAGGAGGTGGAGGAGGAGAGAGGAAGGACGTGGATGATGGCTCTGGGCGAGTTTTCCTTCTCTCGGGCTCTGCAAGGCCACGGCGGCCTCGGGCGTGCCCTCGGTAAGCTCGGAGCCGGGTGGAGGAGGGCCGGGGGCGGAATCGGGACCGTACATGGACAAACAAGTGGAACTTTTGGCTTCGCTCCCCCCTTCCCTCCCTCTATTCAAAGTTGGCCCTGGGCATTCGAGAGTGCAGGCTCGAGAGGACAAAAAAGTGGAGCCCCCAGGGCCTCCAGCAGTCTGGACGCCAACTTTGAGTTTCGGGGTAAGCGGGGGCGAACACGGGGTCGAAAACCAAGGGGTTCCATTTTTTGTCCCCTTACCGGAGGTGGGCCTGGGGCTGGGCAGGAGCGTGCAGTGGCTGGAAGGGCGTGGAAGAGCGGTGGTCGGGTGGCGTGGGCGGGGGGATGGGTGGGAGGACGCAGGAAAAGGGATCGAGGCGCCATCCTGGGAGCAGAGTTGTTGAACGCCCGGCGTACATGTATCTCGCAAGCCAGGAATTGTCAGCCGTTCTGAGATCGGGATCCGGCATTATCAAGGACAGCATTTGGATAACAATCTTCGTTGTCCCCCATGCCAACGCGCGGACACGATCTAGGAGGAATGTAATCCAATAGCCCTTATAACGGCGACGATGGAACACAGTGCCGGGGAACTGCTTTGAACATCACCAGTCGTTCAAAGCAGTGCCCCGGCACTGCTTTGAACGATGCGGAAATGCGATCAGCAGGAGCCTTCGTCTGTTCCTTCTCCTCTTCTCGTCGCTGTATGCTCTTCCTTGTCCTCCCTCCTCCCCCGTTCCCTCTCTAATTAATTACCTCGTTCTCCCAGTCTCACGCGCACTCTTCCTCCCCCCTCTCCTCCTCCTCTTCCTGCTTCTCCTCCTCGTCCTCCTCCTCCTCCGCCTCCTCCCCCTCATTTGTTATATTTCTCCGTCCTTGTCCTCCTGTCCCCGTTCTCCTTCTCCCTCTCCTCCTCCTCCTCCTCCTCGTCGTCGTCGTCCTCCTCCTCTTCCTCCTCCTCCTCCTCCTCCTCCTCCTCTTCCTCCTCCTCCTCCTCCTCCTCCTCCTCCTCCTCCTCCCCTTCTTCCTCCTCCTCCTCCTCCCCCTTTTCCTCTCCCTCCTCCTCCTCCTCCTCCTCCTCCCCCTTCCCCCTCTTCCTCCTCTGCTATCACTCCTCCATAATTCCTGTCCGCTCCTCCCCTTCACTGATCTTCCTCTTCGTCATCATCATCCCTTTCGTCGCACGCCTCTTAATCCTCAATCGGTTCCCAATCTTCTCGACTTTCTTGTCATCCGCGTCCTTGGCTGTTGGAGGGGCCTCAGGAATTCTCAGGGCTCTTGTGTTGCACGCGAAGGCACACCTCCCAGGAACGCATCATCCTCCTCACATTCACCCTCCTCCTCCTCATCCTCCTCCTCCATGCACGTTCGGCTCAAGCCCGCGCCGACGGTAGGTTTCACGGCGGTTGGGCGGGCTCGCGCCCGCCTCCGCGGCCTGCAGTCGGGGCAGAGATGCGTGCAGGGTGGGATGACAAAGCGGAAGAGGAAACACGGGCCGCAGTTGCGGATTCTTCAAAGAGCAGCGGCGGCGGTTGGGGAACAAGTGGGGGTTGGGGCGGCCGCAGTGGCGGATACGGCGGCGGAGGTGACCGCAGTGGCGGCTGGGGCGGCGGAGATTCTCTTGGCGGATGGAGAGGAAAAGCGCAGGATGGCGGCGACGGAAGTGACCGCAGTCGCGGATGGGAGGGCGGCGGATGGGGCGGCAACGGATGCGAGGGTTGGGGAATGGAGGGCGCCCGCTGGTGGGACGACGAGGGTGGCTGGTGGAATGCATGGGAAGGTGGCCGCTCGAGTGCCTCGGCAGGTTCTCCTGCCGCGGAGCCCGCGGCCGCAACAGCGGCGGGCAAAGGAGGCGGTCCCCTGCTTCCCCCAGGGCGCGAAGAACAAGGCGCAGTTGCGCTGTTTCAAATTGTGCGCAATGAGCCGCTGCCAATTTTCAAGTTGGAATTCTTCGAGAACTTCAGGGCGAACTGGAACGGCAATTATAAGCAGCACAACGCGGCCTTGAAGTGGTTCCGAGACGAGTACGAAGACCGAGAAAACCCTTTCGGCAGCCGCACGCCCGTCTTCGGAGGTACCGCAGTTGCGGAGGAAATTTCGAAGATCCTTAAGTACCGCGCAAAGGGGAAGGCGCAGGACAACAGGGATTGGGACTGGGACCACACTGTCAAAGTGCCGTGGTCTTGGCTGGAGATGGTCGCGCAGATGGATGGACCTACAATGCTGCGCGTCGTGTGCGGCCCTGACAATGACCGCAGTCGCGGGTTGGTCCGCTGCGAGTGCCGCCCGTGCCCTAGCAGTCTCGACAACATGAGGCACACGAAAGGGGTGGACAGAGGACAGGCGCAAAGAATCCCTCTGCCCCAGTGGGATTTCGTCCTCATCCGCGACGACGGCTCGGGCATTCGCGTCCACCCATCCTGGTCTAGCCCGAAGTTCAACACGTATGAGGTGGAGCCGCACTCGCATCCCGTGCGGGGCCCGAGGGCAGGTCTCGGCAAGAGCGATGGCCACGGAACGTTCACGTTCTGGAAGATGCTGCACGCCCATCCGAATCCTGGGCGGTTCGACGCGAGCAAGGGGGCGCAGCTGCAACCGCGGTGGTCCGCGCAGCCTTGACACCGCAGTTGCGGGATTGCGCAGCCATGGAACCGCAGTTGCGGAAACCGATCGCGTGACGCCGCGCTCGTTTGACTCACTATGCGCGCTTTCGGCCGCAGTTGCGGCGCTGCCTTCTAGCGACTTCATACAGCTTGGCCGCAGTTGCGGCGCTCCCACGACTGACCGCTGTAATTAGGTGCTTCGGGCGCGCATCACCTCCGTTGAAGCACTCGTGACGTTAATTAGCGCGGCCGCAGTTGCGGAGACAGGTACTTAAACAGATGGATCCGCAGTTGTTCGTCGTCCTCGTCGCCCCTTCCCCGTCGTCCTCGTCGCAGTCTCCTCCCTCCGCCTTTCCTCCTCGTCGCAGTTCCTTCCGTTGGCCGTAGCCCGCCTCCGTTGGCCGAGTCATTTCCCGTCGTCCTCGTCGCTTTCCCCCCCGAGGGCCGCAGTTGCGGACTTTGTTGATTCCTCCTCCTCCGTTTCTTGCCCGTCATCCTCGTCGCAGTCCCCTTGCTCCTTTCACCCTCGTCTGAGCTCTTCGCGCCATCCTCTTCCGTCGCGTCCTCTCCATCCTCCTCTTCGCCTTCCTCGTCCTCATCCCCGCCGTCTCCCTCGTTGCCGTTCCTCTCCCAAGCCGGCCGCAGTTCCCCCGTCGGACGGGGGCCGCGCGCGGCCACGCCATGGACCCAGCTCGCAAAGCCGAGGTCGACAAGCGGTTCGCCGAGCTGAAGCAGCAACTGCGGGAAAGGCTCGGCGCGCAAGGGGCTGCCGCGGATGCCGCAGTCGCGGAGCCGACGGGGGACCGCAGTAGCGGAAGCCCCGAGCGACCGCCGCGCGAGGCCTCCCCGCAGTCGTCTAGCTCCTCGCGGTCGGCCATCGAATATCGGCCGCCGCCGCCGATAAGCGCTGCGAGTGGGAGCTCTGCTGGTGGGAGGCGCGAAGAGGCGCAGTTGCGCAGGGCGCGCTTGACCCCCAAGGCAAAATGGGGGCCTCGGGCGCAGACGCCGACGAAGCAGCAGGACCAACCAGCAGTGACGGGAGCCGCCACCGAGACCGCAGTTGCGGGGGTGGCCGGCGAGCCAGGTGCCGCGCGCGGCTCATCTGGGAGCAGCGCGCCCTCGGCCGTGCTGCTCGCAGCCGAGTCCAAACGAGGCGCCCAACCCGAAGACGAGGCCGCCTCCCAGGAGAAAGCCGCCGAGACAACCGCCTCGGCCGATTCGCGGCCGAGGAAAAGGCCGCCTCCCACGGAAGACTCGCCGCTGTCAGAACCGCAGTCGCGGGGTCGCGCGGGGCCTCCGTCGGAACCGCAGTTGCGGGAAGATGCGGGAGCACCGCGGAAGAAGCAGCGGACCAGGTCCCCTCCAGGGATAAACTACTTTGGGGAACGCCCCAAGTGGAACGAAGGATTCCTTCGTACAGCAGACGGCAATCGGGTTCCGTCCACCATCGCTTTGGTGTTCAACGTGGTGGTCATCACGAAGGTGGCAACAAAGGAAGATGTCTTCAGGTGCATCTTGCACCAAACTGCGGCGGTCGTCTTCGTCGTATGGGACCCCGAGCTGTTCCGCACGGGGAACGTCGAAGGCGCTTGCAGCTACGACGTTCGCGTTGGACTCAGGAGTGCCATCGACAACGCTGTCACTATGAAAAACGCCTCCGAGGAGCCTTACTGGACGACGGTTCCCCTGTTCAGAGAGACGGGCCTGGTGCTCGTGCGCCCGCACATCATCGCAGAGACCGCAGTTGCGGGTCATGTTCATGGGGCCACCCACGCCGTCACGATCCTGAGCTTTCGCCTGAAGGGCTCCGAGATGAATCCTGCCGCGGTGATCCGTTTTGCCGTCGTGTCCAGACACGCAGTCACCGAACGTCTCCAACACAAGATCACGCAAACAGAACAACAAGCGTGGCATCCAGCTTTCTTCAAGGACGCGGTTGCTGCCATCCATAAAAATGATGTGCGGTTCTTGTGCGGCCTGTTTGACATCCCGCCTGAGCAGCTCGCAGCATTGGGCCGCAGTTGCGGAGCCAGCTGCACCTGCCCGGTGGGGGTGGTGTTCAGGGCTGGACCCGCCCTGTTCGGAGGCATTGTGAAGGGCACACGCGTCATGCATCCGAATTACGTCCTCCCCATTGGCCCGTGCGACGTGCGCATTGCGGACTACAACATTGATTTTGCAGGGAGGCCGTCGAAGAACGATCCCCAGTGGCTCCCTGATTGGATGCATCGAACAAGCGACTCCATCATCTCTCGGCGCTGGGTTCCAGCGAAGTACATGCCCAAGTGGGAGGATGACCCTGACCGCAGTAGCGGAGTCAGAGAAAAGCTCCACTTGGCAGCGCTGCCCCCAATCGGCAAGGTCATTCAGAAGGAGCTCAACGAGAAGACCTTCAGCACGCACTGGTGCGAGGGCATCCACCAAAACGTCGTCTTCGTCGGCCACGGACGCCAGAGTCGGGCGAGCAAGCGGAAGCACGAAGAGGCGCGATCTGCCGCAGTTGCGGACGAGCGGTGAGTGCGGCAAGACCGAGGAGCCGCAGTTGCGGAACAGAGCTCGGTACTAATTACTGGGCGCCTGCTGCCTGCGTAGTGCATCCCAGTGTAGGATAGCCCGCAGTTGCGGTGTTGCGGTTGCGGTGTAGGATAGCCCGCAGTTGCGGGGTTGCGGTTGCGAAGCCGCAGTTGCGGTTGCGTATAATAGGAGAGCACGCGGTTGCGAAGCCGCAGTTTGCAATAAGTGTGCGCGCGCTGGGTCATCATCATCGTCGTCGTCCGTCCTCGTCGTCGTCGCTGCCGTCGTCGTCGTCGCGTCTGTCGTCTGTCGTCAGCAGTCGTCGTCGGTCGTCGTCGTCGTCAAGTCTGTCGTCTGTCGTCAGCAGTCGTCGTCGTCGTCGTCCCTCCTCCCTCCTCCCTCCTCCCTCCTCCCTCCTCCCTCCTCCCTCCTCGTCCTCCTCCAGGCCGCATCCCCCCGCCACCTCCGTCCTAGCTCTCCTTCCCCTTCCCCTCCTCGTCCTCCTCCAGCTTGCACCCCCCTCCCTCCTCCAGCCTGCACCCCCCCCAAGCTCTCGCCCGATATTTTGGATTAAAACTGAGCCTTCAGTCGTCCGCAGGCATTCGGCTCAGCAGGTCGTTGGGCTCCTGGCACACACGCCTCCACCCTGAGCGACGGACGTCGTGCCATAGTCCGCCATATCGGAGCTCCGGGCCGCAGTGGCGGACAGCGTCGGCACAGATATGAACGACAGCGTCGGCACAGATAATGCCGCAGTGGCGGACAAGAAAGCCGCAGTGGCGGACGAGACAGCCGCAGTTCCAGGCGGAACGCAAGGGATCTTTCAGAGGGCCAACGCCTTGAGGTCTAGATTCAGGACAGGGGACAAGGTGCGCCTCCCTGTGCTCATGCTCGCCCCGCACACGGGCAACCGAGGCGGGCACTACCCTCAGCAGGAAAGGGTTCGGGAACTCGCTGTGAAAATCTTCCTGGCTGGATTCACGCAAGCCGAAGCTGACCACGAAGGTGTCTGCGTTCAGATGTACCCAGCACAAGAGCTGGTGCTGAGAAAAAAGGAGGACCCGAAGTTCCAGACGTACACAGAGTACAATCTGGAAAAAGCGACCGGCCACCTCGCTGCGTGCTTCGACCGCAGTTGCGGAACAGACGTTGCGTATGGGACGTGTTCGCACTCCCACTTGTGCCTCGTGTTGCGGGCGTGCGCCCTGGGAGCCAAGTGGCCCATCCCCCAAGGCATGGAGTTCACGGAGGACGAGAGCGCGAGGCTGAAGCCCGTGCTCGATAAGGACGGCAATCTCGACATGGCCGCAGTGGCGGAACATGACCCTGTCGCTAAGAAACTCGTGCAGGGGGGTATGCTCATGGAAGTGCTTAGCTGGAAAATCATGGACGAGGAACCCACTGGTGCTTCGCTCATCAGCCAGTCCCTCAATAAAGGAGCCGATTTTGCGTTGCGAACGACTGAACTCACCGCGCTCCGTGTTCTGTGCAAGGCTGTTGACGCGGAGCTGCACGCCGCAGTTGCGGATCAGGTTGCCTTTGAAAAGGTCAAGCTCTCCGTCATGCACGAACTCGATCGAGTCGTTCAGGACCCAGACTTCATTGAGCTGTTCTCGTTCGTTGTTGGGCTCGGGAGCACGAAAGCGCAGTTCATCCCCTTGCTGCTCCAGTTCTGCGAGGTCTACGTGAACTCCAGGAGAAGGGCCCTTCGGCTCGGTGCCTTCGGGGCAGCCAGCGAGCTTCCCGACGACGTGCCGTGGGTCAAGGTTGCCGTGGTGATGCGATGCTACAGGAACGCGCCTGCGAGGAAGAGGGGCGTTGACACTCCTGTGTGGTGCCCTGACCCAGAACAATCGTGGAAGAAGAAGGAGTTCCGAGACTTCCTCATCGACATGAACTCGGCTCTCCGTTTGTACTTGTTCACGCTGAGCAAGGCCATCGACGGCATGGGCCCTGAGAAGGCGATCGAGTTCAAGGCGAACCTGTGCATACTGACCGCAGACGGCTTCATGCAGTACCTGAAGGACACCACGTCAAGGAACGAAGTATCCCAGGACATCGTCAGGCGCTCCTCCGCGCTTGCGCGGAGGCCACGGGGAAGGTGGAGCCGAAGTCCAATCGGGACGCCCTTGAGAAGGCCCTCGGCGAAGTGGGAGTCGGAGGCGGGAAGCCCGATTGGTTCGATTTCAACGCGTTGCCGCGCCCAGAACCGAATGAGCCCGCAGTGGCGGGGAAGACAAAGGCTTCCGCAGAGGGGCACGAGTTGATGCCGACGGTCATTTCCTTTGACCCCACGACGCAATTACCAACGAACCACCAGCGCAGCAGGGACACGACGGCCATTCCACGCGGATCCTTCCCTTTGCCAATCGCCGAATGGAGGCGTTCAGCGGCAGCGAAGGAGCTGGGGCGGGAGCCTGCTTTGGTCAGCGCAGTGTTGCTATGCCTTTGGGCGCGCCACAGGTCCGCAGTTGCGGAAGCGCAAGTAGAGGTGTTGCAAGACGCTGATACAGACAAACGCACCGTCAAGGCAACCGCTGCAAACGACGCACAATGCATCGAGTTGTGGCCGTGCGTCCCAAAGGCATCCAAGGTGCACGCCGCAAGCATGCACCCCGAGAGGGTGGCCGTGCAAGTCTGGGTGAAAGGAGATCCAAATGGAGACACGCCCACGACCTTCTACTTGCACCCCGAGTTCAAGCCGCCTGCGGACAAGACGCCCGCCGACGTGGCTGACCACGATGTGCGGTTGAGAACATGGAAGTGGGATGCGCAAGAGACAATGCACGTCTTCTGGGCAGTCAACAGAGTCACGCAACAGGAGGTCCAGCAGAGAAACAGCCGTGATGAAAGCGCAGTTGCGCGCATCAACATGGAGCTCGAGGAGAAAGAGTTGGCGGTGTGCGTGCCTGGGACAGGCGGGCTCGTGCTCGCCGTGAATGTCCCTGTGCTGGTGAATGCGACGGCCGCGGAGCAAGGAGAAGAGCCCCTGTGGGAGGCGAGACCCAAAGCCGCACCGAAGAAGAAGGCTGCAGAGGAGACGTGGAAGACGGGCGCGGCCAAGAGGGCCAAAGGGAAGCCCTCGGGCCAGCCAGCCCCGAAGAAATCGAAGAAAGGGTTCGACGAATGCGGTGAGATGTCGCTCTAAGAAGCCGCAGTGGCGGCAGTCAGGGCGGCTTGCTCGCGCGACCGCTATTGCGGGCAACAGGCCGGAGGGGGGGGCGCAGGCGCGACCGTTGCGGCGGAGCGGTCTTGTAGTTTGCAGTATCGCTGCTTCTGTTAGGTGTCGCCGCAGTAGCGGATCGCTGACGATCGAGCACGGAGGTTCGAAACAGAACTCCTCCCTCCCTCCTCCCTCTCCCCCCTCGCCCCTCCCCCACTTCCCCCCTCTCTCCTCCCCCTTTCCCTCCCTCCTCCCAAGTTCGAAGCCGACACTGCTCATTCCCTCACTCCCTCCCTCCCTCCCGTCGATGTTCTCCGCGTCCTGCTGCGGCCATCCTGGTGCCGACTCCCCCTCTTGCCAGTTCCCGCGCCGCGTGCACGGGACCTCCTCGGCAGCGCATCCGGCCCCGAGGCCCTCGAGGGCTCCCGCTCGCAGAATGCTTCAAAGCATTCTGCGAGCGGGGACCCTCGAGGGCCTCGCGGGGATCGCAGGGGCCGAGGGATTCATTCGTCTCGCCATTTGGCCCAACCGCGCGCGGCCCCACTGCCCGCGCCACCGCCTTGCCCGCAGTTGCGGCTGTGCCCAACGCAGTAGCAAACATGCCGACTTCGAGCGAATGGAGCCCTGCGTGCGCGGAGAAGGTCTTGTGCATCCGTGGAGGTTGGCTTGCGCAGACCACCCCCGTCCCCGAAAAGGATGTCAAGGTGCTCCACGCATGGCCCCTCGGAGAGATAACTTTCGTGCACGTGAACATGCAAAAGCCTTGGCTGCTCAAGGTGTGCGCCAAAGGTAAACCGACCGCAGGGGCCTTGAAGGCCTCCAAGGCCTGGGACGCGCTGAAGAAAGAAGTCGCGAAGCAGGGCGGCGCCGCAGTTGCGGACGATGAGAGCGACGGCGACGCGGGGGACGAAGCAGATGACCCCATGTCGGCCCTGGTCAGCTCCACGGACGCCACGAAGAAGCAGGCAGCGACCCCGACCAGCGCCAAGAAGCAGAAGACTGGAACGCGTTCGGCGGCTACTGGCCTGCCCAGGGGCGAGGCCGTGGAGTCGGCCATAGCAACTGTGCACTCTGTACAGATGCCCGCAAAGAGCCCCATGAAGTTTCCGCACGACACGGCCGTTCGAAACGTGCGGGTGGCCAGCTTCAAGCGGAGGACGTTGTGGCTGGACGCTGCAGACCTTGGGTGGCTGATCGACATGATCGTGGACGACGTGAGCCTCGGCGGTGTCCCCGACATCGGCGACGGCGACAAGGACGAGGCCGCAGTGGCGGACAGGGACTGGGCAACGGCGGTTGACCCTGCCACCCCGCCGGCGAAGCAAAAGGAGGTCGACCCCCTCGTGGCGCAGGGGAGCGGCTCTGGCTTCACCGTCGTTTGGGACTTCAAGGGCGCTTGGGTCGCGACCATCACGCGAGAGTGTGCCAACAAGGGCAAAAGGATCGAGATGGATGTGAAGAAACTTACAAAGAAGAAGTGGCAGTCGGCGCAGTCGGTGAAGGGCTACGACTACGAGTGGGAGGGCATGACGCAGCACCAGCGCAAGCAAGCGGCTCTGGATTACCTCGAGCTCCAAATCCCCAGTCTGTTCGACTGAGGCCCGAAGCCGTATGGGCCGCAGTTGCGGTGGGGCTACTGAGTGCCCGCAGTTGCGGGGTGGCTGGGTGCGCGTGAACACGCGGAGGGCGAGGCGGTGTGAGGAGGCAGGCGGAAGGTTTAGGGTGTTCCACGGGTGCACGCCTTAGTGCGCCAACTTGTGTGGGCGAGCGTTTTTCTTAGAGAAGCATGGAGTGAAGCATCGAAACCCTGTGCGCGCGATGATTGGGGCTTCCGCGCGGGCGTTGTTGAAAAGTACCTCCTTCTTCGCCCCTCCGCATCGTCTTCAGTTGCTCCTCCCTCCTCCCCTCCCTCTTCCTAGTTCTGTAGCCCGCAGCCGTGTGCCCGGCCCGAGTCGTTCGCCACGCGACCGCTCATGGATGTTCCCGTGGGGCGGACATGGTATGGCGAGGAGGACGGCGAGCATTTCGAGGTGGAGTGGCTCCATTACGACAGCGGCTGCGCACCGAGGAAAACGAAGTATGGCACCACTGGGCTCGCCAACATCTTGGGCCGCAGTAGCGGCGTTCCGTGCCCCAAGAAGATAAAGGTGCACGCATGTGCGGATTTTCCGTGCCTAGCGAAGTGGCCCGCGTCGCAGCACGGCCTTGTTGAGCCGCCTCGCTTTCATTTGCGGCCGTCTGCTTGGCGACCGGGCGCGACGCCACCCCCCGCAGTTGCGGCTCCAGGCGGCACCGCAGTTGCGGCTCCCTCGGCCCCTGCACACATAGCACCAGCAACACCAGCAGAACTCGCAGCTCCTGCGCAAGAAGGACACGCAGCTCCAGCACCAGAAGCACCCGCAGAACCCAAACCTCCAGCAGCCCCTGTGCCCGAAGCACCCGCAGCAGCAGTCCCCCCAGCTCCTCCAGCTCAAGTGCACGCAACACCAGACCCGCCTGCTGCGCAGGAGACCGCAGTTGCGGTTGAAGCTCCTGAGGGAGTGGAAGCGGACAAAGACACACCACTTCCAGCACGCTTGCCACCAGCGCGGCCGCTGCCAGAGAACTGGTCGAAGACGCAGGTCGCATTCTTCCCGTGCCCAGACCCAAAGGCTGCAGCACGAGTTGCGGCGCCTGTTGGCGACGCCTTGCGGCCACGAGTCGCGGCGCCACCCCTGGCGCCAGAGAAAGGTGTACCTGTGGAAGACGCGCCAAAGATCCAGGCCGCAGTGGCGGCGACGGTGCCTGACGTCGTGATGGCTCTCCTGAGGCAGATTCTGTCCGAGAATTCCTACATAGGGTATTCAGCTTTCATGCTGTTTGCCTTGCGGTTCGGGCGTCGACCTTACGTGTGGGAAGGCGAGAACCGCAAGGACCTCCTTGACTTCTACATGCCTTGGGCAAAGGAGAAGTGCACTGAGCCATGCGCCGTCGACGGCGTGGCGTGCGTACTCGCCGCTGCTGAGGATCTGTTCGGGGAATGGACAACGGTGGAACTCAGGCCCGTGACTCCCGAGAACCCTCTCCATGAGGTGCGCCACTGGGTGGCCGCAGTTGCGGTGGGTGGCGTGTGCTCTGAGGGGGCGGACGCGTTGAACAGGTTCTACGGTCCTCTGGGACAATGGGTCCTAGGGACTGTTTGCGATGGAAACTGCGGCATTGACCTTATGGCGATGATGTTGCAGAAACCGCAAAATGCCGAGACGCGCAAATGGCTTCGGGAGGAACTGTACGATTTCGGGGTGCGCCGCTGGGACGAACCGTGGTTGCACGACATGCTCGTTGTCACGCAGGAACTAACCTTGGAGGAGGTGCGGGCGTACCGCAGTTGCGGGGCCAGCGGCCCTGCTGGACCCATGGTCCTGCACGACTCCGAGGGCGAGGGCGAACCAGCAGAGGCGCCGAGAGAGGCGAGCGCGCCACGCCCCGCTCTCATGGCGGCGTTAGAGTGGCAGACGGGCGTGCAGGACATGGGTATATTGCTTGCCATGGCTGAGGCTATGCCCGAGGCGTTGCAGGAGGAGCAGATCAGGGCGCACGCACTGGCCAGCGCACGCCCAAAACCCGAAGTTGCGGAACAGAAGCGGCGCGTGTGCCCGCACATGCTCAGAGACCGCGAACTGGTTTGCAAAGAACTGGAGGCGCACGCACGCAGTTGTGGTTGGATGGGCGAGGGCGTTCTGCCACGGAATTCAATCGCGTCTTTTTGCGGGCGGTTCACGTGGCCGAAGGGCATGGGGGTCGTCCAGCAGCGCCAGGCCGTCTCCAAGTGGTTTCAAAACTGGCGCACACAAGGTGGACATGGCACGGCGGGCGTGCATG